GCAAGATTCAATATAGTATCTTCTTCCACAAATGTTCAGCCTTTGCTTTGCTAGGGAGACGCAGTGGTGAGGGATCACTTGCTCTGATCCTGGGCTGAGACGAATCAGGCGATTACTAATTTCGGAAGTTTCCATCTACTGTGGTGCTTCCTGTAAACGCCGTGAATCTCTCCTGACTTCCAGATGAGGTTATGGTGCAAGCAGCACTGTCCTTCTCCTAAATAGGTTCTGAAGTGCAGTTCCGGCTTCTTACTAAAAGCCTGCTCACACATTCCTCTGATTTTCACAGCACTAATGCTTCACTTCTTAGTCTGCCTGCTATACAATTCCACTTCAGAATTTGCCAGATTTATTTAGGAGGAAGCTGGCTCCGCTTGCACACTATTTGTTAGCCTTGAGACCCTGTTTTCTGTCCTCTTCGTGCACAGCCTGCATAGTGAAACTTCTTTCTTTCTTTTTATTTTATTATTTTATTAATTTATATTGCATTTTAGGTTTTGGGGTACATGTGAAGAACATGCAAGATAGTTGCATAGGTACACACATGGCAGTGTGATTTGCTGCCTTCCTTCCCCTCATCTATATCTGGCATTTCTCCCCATGCTATCTCTCCCCAACTCCCCATCCCTGTCTTAAGTTGGAAAATGGCTTTAAAGCAAAAGCTGCTGTCGCTGGGGAGCTCCTCTCCTTGGTAGCCCCATTTCACAGCCCTGCTTCCCTGTGCTTGGTCATTTCAAGAGATCTCAGTCTTGGATACATGTAAGCATATTTTTAAAAATCGTCTACATTATTTAAGAGCTCTCAGTTGGACTTTTGATCAATTGCAATCTATCTTGAATCGGATTATGTGATTAATTTATACATTATGCATAAACGATAGCATTTCTGGTGTGAGGTCATGGAAGGAACAAAACACCACCCTATAAAGATTTCCACCAGTCCTCTAGATCTAGCTACTGGCTTGCAGATAGGAGTTAGAAGAACCTGTTAAGACTTCAAAGGAATACATCATCTATACAAAAAATGTGCTAGATTGGTCAGGACAAGAGACCTATAAATGAAAACAAAGAAGGAGGAATTTGGGACTGCATAGTCTAAAAGAGATTTAAGAAATATATAAAACAAAGGTAACATACTGACTTTATTTTTATCCTGTTTCAAACAAACTCTCCATAAAATATATTTGTAATCCAATTGAGAAAATTTGAACATAGACTGAATATTAGATAATATTAGGAATTATTGTTTATTTTTTAGTTACAACTATGGTAATGTTATGTTTTGTGTGTGTGTGTGTGTGTGTGTGTGTGTGTGTGTGTTTTAGAGTCTTGCTCTGTCACCAGGCGCCAGGCTGGAGTGCAATGGCGTGATCTTGGCTCACCGCAACCTCCGCCTCCTGAGTTCAGGCAATTCTCCTGCCTCAGCCTCCCAAATAGCTGGGATTACAGGCACGTGCCACCATGCCCAGCTAATTTTTTGTATTTTTAGTAGAGACGGGGGTTTCACCATGTTGACCAGAATGGTCTCGATCTCTTGACCTCATGATCCACCCGCCTCGGCCTCCCAAAGTGTTGGGATTACAGGCGTGAGCCACCGTGCCCGGCCGGCATTTTCTTTTGATTTGCATTCAGTCCTATTCAACACAATTATTTCATATGGAGTCTATGTCCTTCTCCTTCCCACCAAACCTCAGTGCCATCCCCAGTGTATTATTCCAGTGGCTCTAGCAATTCAGAGTATGTTTTGGGGTGGACTGAAAGTGAAAAAGGTAGTGATGCTTCTCCCACTAGGAGGAGGAAATTCCGTTTCCTTTCCTTGTTCTCTTTGGTGGGGCAGGGAGGTCAAGTAAGCAATAGATACCTTCTCTCTCAGATGACCAGTAGTTATCAGGCTATTTCATTTTCTGTTGGTTACATTGGAAGCAACAGGTGACAATTACCTTGATTGCAGGTGACAAGATCATGATCTCCCTTTCCTATCTACAGGAAGGGAGGAATGGAAGAACCAAGAATACTGGTAGAAAATACAACTATAAGTGCTAACATATTAATAATTACATTAAATATTAATGAACTAATTTCTAATTAGCAAACAATTATTGTGAAATCTGTACACTTAAAAATACTTATTTCTGAGTCATTCCCTCAGTCCTCTTCCACTAGATCAGGAATTTTGCCCTGATATGTCTACAATGTATCTGTAGCACAAAACACTCACACTTTCAGCATTCTAACAGAAACCTTTTTTATCTCTGACTTATCGAAGACCATTATGAACTTGCTTGTAGAGATTTAAGTGAGAAAGAAGGTAATTTCATTTTGTAGAAAATGTTTACTGTGTTTCTAAATTGAAATTTTTAAAAATCACATGAAGGATATGGACAATGAAGATATTATTTTATGTTTTCCTTCTCCATTAATGGGAAAAATAGAAATGGTTTTGAGTTTTTTTTTTTTAACCTTTCTTGTTATAAGTTGCCAGAAAAGCTTAATTTTTCAGAGGGTGAATAGTAGGCATATAATTCTGTTTTTGAAGGTTTAAAAGCTGCCGAATAATGTTCAGCCAGCACTTATTTCTTCATTCAACTCAACTTCAACCTAATGAAATAACACACAGGCAGATAAGTCATAAACTACAAGAATACAAGTACAGGCATACTTTGAAGATATTGAAAGCTTGGTTCCAGATGACTGCAATAAATCAAACATCACAATAAAGGAAGTCACATTTTTGGTTTCCCAGTACGTATAAAAGTTATGTTTATGCTGTGCTGGAATCTACCAAGGGTGCGACAGCATTATGTCTAAAAGAGCAATGTACTTACTTAAAGAATACCTTATTAATTGAAAAAATGCTAAGAATTATCTGAATTTTCACCAAGTAATAATCTTTTTGCTGGTGGAGGGTCTTGTCTTGATGTTGATGGCTGTTGACTAATCAGGGTGGGGTTCCTGAGGGTTGCAGTGGCTGTGGCAATTTCTTAAAGTAAGAAAACCTTAAAATTTGTTACACTGATTGACTCTTTTCATGAAAAACTCCTCTTAGCATGAAGTGGTGTTTGACAGAATTTTACTCAGAGGATTTCTTTCAAAATTGGAGTCAGTTCTCTCAAACTCTGGGGCTGCTTTATCAACTAAGTTTATGGACTGTTCTAAGTCATTTGTTGTCATTTCAACAATGTTCACAACATCTTCATCAGAAGTAGATTTCATCTCAAGAAATCACTTCCTGTGCTCATACATAAAAAGCAACTCCTCACCTTTCAAGTGTTATCCTGAGATTACAGCAATTTACTCATGTTTTCAGGCTTCACTTCTAATTCTGCTTTTCTTTCTATTTCCATCACATTTACACTTACTTCTTCTACTGAAGTCTTGACATCCATGAAGGGTGAATCAACTTCTCTAAACTCCTGTTAATGTTGACTTTTGACCTTCTCTCATCATTATCTGTGGCAGCCATTGCCTTGCAACATGAATTTCTTAAGTAATAAGACTTGAAAGGCAAAAGTAGTCTTTGATTAATGGGCTGTAGAATAGAGGTTGTGTTACCAAGCATGAAAACAATATTAATCTCCTTGTATGTCTCCGTTAGAGTTCTTGAGTGACTAGGTACACAGTCAATGAACAGTAATATTTTAAAAGAGATTGAGAGAAGTTGGTCTCAACAGTGGACTTAAAATATTCAGTGATCCATGCTGTAAACAGATCTGCTGTCATCCAGCTTTGTTGTTCCATTTAGGGAGCACAGGCAGAGTAGATTTAGCATAATTCTCAAGGGTCCTAGTATTTTTAGTATGGTAAATGAGCATTGGAAAGTCACCGTCTGCAACAGTCCTTAGGAAGAGAGTCAGCCTGTCCTTTGAGGTTCTGAAGCCAAGCATGACTTCTTTCTAGCTATAAAAGTCTTAGATAGCATATTCTTCCAGCAGAAGGCTGTTTAACTACACTGAAATGTTGTCGTTTAGTGTAGCCACCTTCATCAATTATCTGCACTAGATCTTCTGGGGAACTTGCTGCAGTTTCTGCATCAGCACTTGCTGCGTCATCTTGCACTTTCAGGTTATGGAAACAGCTTCTTTCCTTAAACCTCATGAACCAGCCTCTGCTAGCTTCAACCTTTCCTTCTGAAGCTTCCTCAACTCTCAGCTTTCATAGATTTGAAGACAGTTAGTGCTTTGTTCTGGATTAGGCTTTGGCTTCAGGGACAGTTGCTGCTGGTTTGATCTTCTTTCTAAACCACAGGAATTTTTTTCCGTTCCAACAATGAGGCTGCTTTGCTTTTTTTATACTTCACGTGCTTGCTGGAGAAACACGTTCAATTTTTTAAAAGATATTTTCCTTTGCATTCAAAACTTGGCTGTTTAGTGGAAGAGGGAGGCCTAGCTTCTGGACTATCTCTGCTTTTAACATGCCTTCCTCATTAAGTTTAACTACTTCTCCCTTTTGATTCAAAGTGAGAGTCTTGCGATTTTCTTCTCACTTGAACACTTGGAGGCCATTGTAGGGTTATTAATGAACCTAATTTTAATACCGTGTGTCTCAGAGAATAGGCAGGACAGAGGAGAAGGAAAGAGACTGAACAGCCGGCCGATGGAACAGTCAGAACACACCCAACATTATCGATCAAGTCTGCCCTCTTATATGGGTACAGTTCGTGGCACCCCAAAACAATCACAACAGTAAAATCCAAGACCACTGGTTACAGATCACTATGCGGATATCATAATAATGAAAATTTCAGAACACTGTGAGAAGTACCAAAGTGTGACACAGATACATCAAGTGCCTGACTGCTACTGGTAAAATGTTGCGGATAGACTTGCCCCATGCAGGGTTACTACAGGCCATTCATTTGTAAAGAAAAAAACCTGTATTCGCAAAGTGCAATAAAGCAAAGTGTCTGTATCTAAACGCTTTAAAGAGCCACCTATTAATATGTAAGTAAAGTATTCTGATTGTTCTTGGCATTATTAGTCAATTCAAGTTTTATATAATTACCTGTTCGCAGATTTTCTTTCAGTGGTGCTAAAATTAACTCATTTATCATGCTTCATTTTATGTTTAGTTCCTATAGAACATACAAAAATAATTTTTTAAATAAGATTTCATTCCAAGCAGCTATTTCCCATTAGACAACTCTATGAGAAGTTTGCACAGGAATACATCTCATATTCACCAGAAAGGACATTTTTTAACTTTGTTGAGACCAAGTAACTGATTTTTCCATTTATCAGTAATATCACTTTCTACCCTGACTTCAGGCTTTTTTCTTGTGTTATTTTTACAAAAATTCTATTTCTAATAACATGTATTAATATGCCTACTAGCTCAGAGGTCTGTTCTATTTCTTCCAATTACTGGTATTGATGGATAAATTATCAACATCAATGTTTTGATAAAAAAGACAAAATGATAAACCACCACCAAAAATCTCACATACATCTGAATATATATTATGGAAAAAAATGCATTTAGGTTTTCAAAAGAGTAAGAATAGTATCAGTGCTTCTTTTTTATCTAAATGTATGTCTGAATGCCCACACATAAAATTCAAAATATTCATTGAAAAGATCAATGAATGCTTTAGAATTGTGGTCAGAGCATTAAAAGCTTTGGAAAAATAAATATGCTTTTATAGGTTTTTTTTAAAAAAAATCAATGTTGTCTGAATTATCAATTGCCTTTGGTATACACCATCCTGCTTAAATAGTTATAAAAGCTATAGTAATTAAAATATATGATTTCTTTTTTTTCACATGAGCATATCAAAAGTTCCAGTAAAGAAAAGAATATAGTACCAGCGTTTTATAGGGGGAATATTGCAAATTCCCTATTTTTGCATTCAGTGATATTTTTATTGAGTCTTTGATAATGTAGATTTTTTTGGAATGACAATAGAAATTTCACTCTGAGTTGCAAGGAATGGGCTGACTGAATAACATTACATGTGTGAGGGGCCATTATAATAGATTATCACATATAGGTTGCCTTGCCTTGGGAAGTGACCCTGAAGTTTATATCAAAAAGTAATTCTAAGAATTATGAAAACAAAGAGCTGTTTAGTGAATTGGAGACTCTATAATGTTTGACAGAAGCCCAATAGGAATATGATAGCAGACACTCAACACAGCATCTATTGGGCAATAATCATGCTGTTCTGTTGGCTTTGTTACAAGAATATTCATACAAGTGAGGAGAAATGCAGAAAGGCGTTACTTTATTCTGGGCAGAATCTACACCTTCATAGGTGGAATAAACCCAAATTGACAAGCTCCTGCTGACTATTAGTATGATAATGTCACAGACCATGAGAGCAAAATGAATGGAAGAAAACAGGCAACCCTGATTTTCACAGAAAAGCATAGAGAGCAGGAGCTCAGCATTGGGAGGGAATGATTGGTAACAGCTCACCTAGTAAGAGTCCCAAGAAAATGTCAAGCCTAAACATAACTGAAAACTCCGTTGTTATTTTCATTTCCATTTTACAAACTAAAATGAAAATCAAAGACCAAAATGATTAAGACATCAATCCAGTGTCTCAGGATAAGTGGGAGGACCGATTTAAAACTTATGTCTGCCTGTTTTCAATTTCCTTGTTCAGTGTGTTTCTTTGTTTTATTTTAAAACTTTCCAGCTTCATAAAGGCTAGGAACGAAAGAGGTGTTCATTATGCAGGATGGTCTAAGGCAGGCTTCGGTCCCAAGCACCTCAGTGCCTGCAGTCTGCATCCGGAGCTCCACCACATGGCCCCAGCCTGGCTCTGCCCCTCTCTCACTAGCGCCAAACTCAGACAATGCAGTAGCCTCTGTCTAGGGCACTGCCAGCTGCCAGCACACAGAATCTTAATTTGTAATGTTGCTGTAACAAATTACCACAAACTTAGTGATCAAAACCAACACAAACCTATGATCTCACAGTTCTTTGGGTCAGAAGTCTTACCTGGGTCTCAGCCAGCTAAGATCAAGGCAAATGGGCCTGCGTTCCTTCCACAGGCCCTGGGGGGACTCTGTTTCCTCACCTTCCCCAGTTTTCTGCTGTCAATCTCTCCAGTAGGCTGAGTGGTGACCCCCAAAAAGATGTGCCTACATCCTGATCTCCAGAACCGGTGAATATTATGAGATATGGTAAAAAATAAAAAGAAAAAGTATATTGGAAAAAATATGTGAGTAAGGATTTGAGAAAAGAGACTTATGCTGAATTATCTGAGTGTGCCCTTAATCCAGTAAGTGCCCCTTATAAGTGTAAGGCAGAAATATACTTAGCAGTCTCACAGAGGAGAAGGTGAAGTAAAGATGGGCCAGAGATGGAAGTGATGGGGCATAAGACAAGGACTGCAGCAATCACCAGGAACTAGAAGAAACAAGGAATACAAATCTCCCTGGAGTCTTCAGAAGGAGAGGTCTTGCTGATATTCGTGGGCATCTATTGTTTGGAACTGTGAAAGAATACATTTCTGTTGTTTTAAGTCACTACCTTGGCCAGGAACTGTGGCTCAGGCCTGTAATCACAGCACTTTGGGAGGCCCAGGTGGGCAGATCATGAGGTCAAGAGATAGAGACCATCCTGGGAATATGGTGAAACCCCATTTCTACTAAAAATACAAAAATTAGCCAGGCATGGTGGTGCACACCTGTAATCTCAGCTACTTGGAAGGCTGAGGCAGGAGAATCACTTGAACCTGGGAGGGATCAGTGAACTAAGATTGTGCTTCTGCACTCCAGCCTGAGCAACAGAGGAGATTCTGTCTCAAAAAAAAAAAATAAATAATAAATATAAATAAAACCACTCTACCTTTGTGGCAATTTATTCTGGCAGCCCTAAGAAACTAACACCCTTACATGTCTTACCTCCCTTATATCCCTCCGCTTCAAAGCCAAAAATGGCAAATGAGTCCTTCTCGCAGTGCTTTCTCCTGCTCTCCTTTTCTTGTCCTTATTTTAAGTTCCGGGATACATGTGCAGGATGTGCATATGGTGCAGGATGTGCACATGGTGCACGTGCCATGGTGTTTTGCTGTACCTGTCAATCCATCACCTAGGCTTTCTTTAATTTAGACCGTAAAATGAGCCTCAATAAATATAAGAAAATTGAAATTATATAAAGCACTCTCTTAGAACACAGTGTAATAAAACTGGAAATCAACGCTAAAAGGAACCTTCAAAACCATGAAAATACATGGAAATTAAATAAATTGTTCCTGAACGAGCATGGGGTCAGAAACAAAATCAAGATGAAAATTTTAAGTCTTCAAATTGTACAACGATAATGGCACAACCTATCGAAACCTCTGGGATTCAGCAAAGGTAGTGCTAAGAGGAAAGTTCATAGCCCTAAACACCTACATTCAAAAGCCTGATGGAGCACCAACTGACATGCTACGGTAATACCTTGGGGAGCTAGAGAAACAAGAACACATCCAACCCATACCCAGCAGAAGAAAGGGAATAACCCAGATCAGAGCAGAACTAAATGAAACAAGCAAACAAAAAAATACAAAAGATCAATTCAACAAAAAGATGGTTCTTTGAAAAGATAAATAAAATTTATAGACCATTAGCAAGATTAACCAAGGAAGGAAGTGAGAAAACCCAAATAACCTCATTAAGAAACAAAACAGAAGATATTACAACTGGCACCACCGAAATACAAAAGATCATTGAAGGTTACTGTGAACACCCTTACCCATGTAAACTAGAAAACATAGAAGAGATGGATAAATTTCTGGAAACATGCAACATCCTAGCACAAATCAGGAAGAATTAGATACCCTGAACAGACCAATAGCAAGTTAATTTAAAAATTACCTGCAAAAAAATCCCCGGACCAGACAGATTCATAGCAGAATTCTACCAGACATTCAAAGAAGAATTGGTACCAATTTTTTGACACCATTCAACAAGATGGAGAAAGAAGGAACATTCCCTAATCCCTAATTCGTTTTATGAAGCCAGCATCACCCTAATACCCAAACAAGGAAAGGACATAACAAAAAGGAAAACTACAGACTGACATTGTTAATGAACATAGATGCTAAAATCCTTTAAAAAATACTAGCTAACCAAATCCAACAATATATCAAAAAAAAAATAATCTACCACGACTGAGTGGGTTTCATACCAGGGATATAGTATCAAAACAAAAGCAAAGTAGGCATACAACTAACCAAAGAGACAAGAGACCTCTACAAGAAAAACTACAAAACACGGCTGAAAGAAATCAGGTTTCTTTCATGACACAAATGGAAACATATCCCATGCTCATGAATGGGTGAATCAATATTGTGAAAATGAGCCGAAGCAATTTACAAAAGCAATGCAATTCCCATCAAAATATCACAATTCTTTACAGAATTAGAAAAAATTCTAAAATTCATATGGAACCAAAAAAGAGCACCCATAGCCAAAGCAAGAGTAAGCAAAAAGAACAAATCTAGAGGCATCATACTACCTGATTTCAAACTATACTATAATGCTATAGTCACCAAAACAGCATGGTATTGGTATAAAACTAGGCCTGTAGACCAATGGAACACAATAGAGAAACCAGAAATAAACCCAAATACTTAGTGCCAACTGATCTTTGACAAAGTAAACGGAGAAACATAAAGTGGGGAAAGGACACCCTTTTCAACAAATAGTGCTGGGCAATTGGCTAGCCACATGTAGGAGAATGAAAGTGGATCCTCATCTCTCACCTTTTACAAAAATCAACTGAAGATGGATTAAGCACTTAAATCTAAAACATGAAACGATAAAAATTCTAGAAGATAACATTGAAAACACCCTTCTAGACATTGGCTTAGGCAAGGATTTCGTGACCAAAAACCCAAAAGCAAATGGAATAAAACCACAGATAAATAGTTGGCACTTAATTAAGCTAAAGAGCTTTTGCATGACAAAAGAAACAGCAGAGCAAACAGACAACCTGCCAAGTGGAAGAAAATCTTCATAATCTGTACATCTGACAAAGGACTAATATCCAGAATCTGCAACAAGCTCAAACAAATTAGCAAGAAAAAACAAAATATCCCATCAAAGAGTAAGCTAAGAACATGAATAGACAATTCCCAAAAGAAGATATACAAATGGCTGACAAACATATGAAAAAATGCTCAACATCACTAATGATCAGGGAAATGCAACTCAAAACTACAGTGCAATACCACTTTACTCCAGCAAGAAAGGTCATAATCAAAAAATCAAAAATAGATGTTGGAGTGGATGTGGTGATCAGGGAACACTTCTACACTGCTGATGGGAATGTAAACTATGGAAAACAGCGTGGAGATTCCTTAAAGAACGAAAAGTAGAACTACCATTTGATCCAGCAATCCTACAACTGGGTATCTACCCAGAGGAAAAGAAGTCATTATGCAAAAGGGATGCACACACATGTTTATAGCAGCACAATTTACAACTGCCAAATCATGGAACAAACCCAAAATGCCCATCAATCAGCAAGTGGATAAGTAAACTGTGATATATCTATATATATGTCTCTATATAGCTCTCTCTCTCTCTCTCTCTCTCCTCTCTCTCTCTTTCTCTCTCTCTCTCTATATATATATATATAATATATATATCACAGTTTATATACATATATATTTATGTATGTATAAAAGTTTGTATATATATATTTATTATATATATAAATACATGTATATCACAGTATACACACACACACACACACACTGTGATGTATACACACACACACTGTGATGTACACACACACACTGTGATGTATACACACACACACACTGATGTATACACACACACACACTGTGATGTATACACACACACACACACACACACACACACACACACACACTGTGATGTATACATATACAATGAAATGCAATTTGGCCATATAAAGGAATGAATTAACAGCATTTGCAGCAACCTGGAGGAGACTCCAGACTATTATTCCAAGTGAAGTAACTCAGGAATGAAAAACCAAACATCACATATTCTCACCGTTATGTGGAAGCTAAGCTTTAAGGACACAAAGACATAAGAATGATAAAATGGATTTGGAAGATTTGGGGGGAAGACTAGGAGGGAGGCAAGAGATACAAGACTACAAATATGGTGCAGTGTACACTGCTTGGGTGATAGTTGCACCAGAATCTCACAAATCACCACTAAAGGACTTACGTGTAACCAAATATTACTTGTACCCCAATAATTTATAGAAAAATTCGTGTTAAAAAACAAGATAAAATAAATCTTTGATAAAATACTGGCAAACCAAATCCAGCAACACATCAAAAAACTTACCCACCACGATCAAGTTGGTGTCATTGCCAGGATGCGAGGCTGGTTCAACATATGCAAATCAATAAACGTAATTCATCACAGGAACAGAACTAAAGACAAAACCACAAGATTATCTCAATACTTGCAGAAAAGGCCTTTGATAAATTTCAACATCCCTTCATGTTAAAAACTCTCAATAAACTAGGTATTGATGGAACATACCTCAAAATAAGAGCCACTTATGACAAACCCACAGCCAATATCATACAGAAAGGGCAAAAGCTGGAAGCATTCCCCTTAAAAACCATCACAAGATAAAATGGCCTCTCTCACCACTCCTATTCGACATAGTATTTTAAGTTCTGGCCAGGGCAACCAGGCAAGAGAAAGAAATAAAGTATATTCAAATAGGAAGAGAGGAAGTCAAACTGTCTCTATTTGTGGATTACATTATCCTGTGTTTAAAAAACACTGTCATCTCAGCCCAAAAGCTTCTTAGGCTGATAGGCAACTCTCCCTCCTTTTTTCTACAGCCAGTTCCCTTGGGCCCTCATCAGCTAATGTCCCCCTGTGTTTAAGAAATAAAGCATATTCAAATAGGAAGAGAGGAAGTCAAACTGTCTCTGTTTGTGGATTACATTTTCCTGTGTTTAAAAAACACTGTCATCTCAGCCCAAAAGCTTCTTAGGCTGAAAAGCAACAATCTCTTCATTTTTCTATAGTCAGTTCCCTTGGGCTATCACCAGTAAATATCACCTACTAAACTCATGTGATTGTGTTCCCGGGATGATCTCCTCATCTCAAGATCATTATGTTAATCCCCACTGCAGAGTCCCTTTTGCCATGTAAAACAGTGTGAACACAGAGTTGGGGATCAAGGTATGAATAGCTTTGGAGGCATTATTCTGTCCTTTGCAGAGAGTAAAAGAACTTAGTGAACCACACTTCAGAGTCCCTTTTGCCATGTAAAACAGTGTGATCACAGATTTGGGGATCCAGGTATGAATACCTTTGGAGGCATTATTCTGTCCTTTGCAGAGAGTAAAAGAACTTAATGAACCACACTAGGTTCTTATAGTGCTTTTTCCTGGAATGACAAACGTCATTTGCACTTACGTTTCATTGGCCAAAGCAAGTCATATGGGCATGTCTGATTCCACAGTGCAGGGGAATATAATCCATATGCAGGAAAGAATATGGAATATGACAATGATCGTACTATTCATACAAGAGAGGCCAATGGCTCTACTGTGACACAAAGATGGGTGGAACTACTCAGGATGTACCACAAAAAAGACCTCAGGGTGCAGCAAATAATAAGATGGGCATCTGCTTGGAAGGAAAATTTTTATATACTGTAGTAATATAAATAGACTACAAGTGCCACAAGAAAGGAGCAGACACGTAGCATAAAGGAATCTCATTGTAAACCATCTGAAAAGATTCATTCATTAATTTGTGGAAACCCACGAAAGGTGTTTATGAGAGCTGGCCACAAAAGATGGAAATTCATAGCCAGATATTTTTCTCTTCATCTTTTAAAATCAGAACTGTGTATCTTCTCCATGTGGAGGAATTCTTGACCATTCAGTCACACTGGGGTAGGTTCAGAACCTCTCCTCGGTTCCCATGATAATGTGATCCACATTTTATAAAACCCCAGAACCTTTTTATGCCATTGTGTATTCTTTGGCAGAAAAGTGTCCTCTTTATGCTGGTATCATATTGTAACATAGTTAGTTGATGTTGCTCAATATACTTTGAATTAATAAAAGGACTTAAAGTCAGTGAAGAACTGATGAATGGAAGTGCTCTAAAAAGATGTGAGACAATAACTTATGTTGGCTAAAATATGAGATGTTAAAATAAGAGTTGAAAAACGTAGTGAAGTTGAATTAATCCACTTACTCAGCTGAACATATACCTACCACCTACTAAGCTCAGGCATGAGGGATGACATGAGGAAGAGTCTGTCCCATTAAGCAGCAATGTAGTAATGTAAAGGGTGTCCACGTTCTCAGCATCTTGAACAAAGAATTATACCAAACATACATACAAAAGAATGAAGCGACAAAAGCTGAGATTTACTGAAAAATGAAAGTACATTCCACAGATTGGGGGTCAGCCCCAGCATGACGATTAAGAACCTGGTTACAGAATTTTGTGGGCTTTAAATACCCTCAACACATTTCCTATTGGTTACTTGGTGTACACCATATGTAAATGAAGTAGTGGCCCACCATCGGTCTGATTGGTTGCAGGAGGGGACCAATCAGAGGCTGAAGTGAAGATACAAAAGTACTTTCAATTTTTCAACTGCCATGCAGAAAAGAAGGGGAGGGTTGTAATGGGAGTATCCTCTGGTCCTTTTGTTACTTGGGGTGGAGAGTTGGGGTTTTCCTTTTGATTTAGTTCTAGGAAGTCCGCATGAATCAACCTAAGGTTCCCTGCCTCCAGACTCTGTTCTGCCTCAGTGGGCCATGTCAGGCCTCAATGCAATGTACCCTATCCAGGAAAAGCATCGATGCCAAGTAAATGTCAGATAAACACAAAAAGATAACATGAACTGTGAAGTTAAGGTTTAAACATACATGTTGATCCACTATTATTAGGGTTAATTTACTCTTCAACAACTGTCCCTATATATGTTAACATTTCTCCTCTCTTTTAGAGTGGAACTCATGGCTGGGCCCGTTAGCTCAAGACTTTAATCCCAGCACTCTGGGAGGCTGAGGCAGGGTGATCATGAAGTCAGGAGATCGAGACCATCCTGGCCAACATGGTGAAATCCCATCTCTACCAAAAATACAAAAATTAGCTGGGCATGATGGTGCACACCTGTAGTCCCAGCTACTCGGGAGGCTGAGGCAGGAGAATTACTTGAACCCGGGAGGTGGAGGTTGCAGTGAGCCGAGATCGCACCATTGCACTCCAGCCTGGCGCCTGGTGACAGAGCAAGACTCTGTCTCAAAAAAAAAAAAGAGTGGAACTCATTTCATTGACACTTAAGAAAATATCAGCCATTTAAATAAACACTTTATTTTAAATATGCCTTTTCAAGATCATAAGAAATATACATTAATCTTATGCAAAAAGACATTATCCACCATTTGAATCTCTATGCCCATGTATTTCCATGTTTAGATTACATTTTTTTACCTTTCACATGAATAGTGTAACTACCAACCATTTACTTATTGCTAAGTACTCACAGACACTGATATTTTAAATATTTAAATAAGTAAAAAAACTTATTCAGAAAGGAAATTTTAAATTCAAACTAGAAGAACTCACCAAGTAGGTTCTGGCCTCTAACCAGTGGAAATCACACTATCGTTTTAATTACTTCCCCGCTATCCAGGTTGCCTTATTTTTCAGCATCTGTCTGTCTTCAGTTTTCCTGGCCACAGCAATTAGGAATGTTATGTGAGGTTTAGCAAAAAGCCTAGAAGTGATTTCTTTGTGGCTAGAGAGGCACAGGAGCAGAATGTGCCTGCTCTTCCAGCATAAATGCATTTCCTCGGCGCTCCTTCCATTCATCCATACTTTGAACTGCCACAGACGGAGGAGTCTAATTCACTGAAGAAATTCACATCATTGTGCTTCTGCGAGCTTCCATAAATTAAACTGGCATTTCCTATTATAAACCCCTGTTTTTAGGATTTTATAATAATTTTGCTAAGAAATATAGTTTGATACAGAACTATACTGAATGGCAGCTAGAGCAAGCAGGACATCCTTAGACGGGATTTAAATTAAAACAGAAATGAAGGCCATTTTAGCAGCTTTAATTTACACAACTGCAAAAATGTGAAAAAAAATGTGCTAGACCCAGAGTTTATTCAAAAATGCTGTCTGTTACCCTGAAGCAGTTTGTACAGCATCAAAGCTCCTGGGAAGCATGAGCACAGCGCTCACAGCCTTCTCCATACCCACGTGATGCCTCTCTCTCACGTGCTTCTGCAGAACAAGCCTTAGCCGACAAAATCGCCTTTGCTACTGTGTCAGTTAGCACTCCTTCAAATAAAACACCCTTTCAACAAAGCAGGCTAATCCCTATGCCCTGAGCACCCCCTGATACAAAGAAGCAGCCTTGGTCTTCCTTTTCAACCCTAGATACTTCCGTTTATTTTGGATAAAAGAAAATTTAGCTTAGAACTCCAGTTATTATCACCACTACGAGCATCATCATTATCACCTCAAGGTATTAAAAATGAAAGAAAATACATCAACAAGGATTCTGCTGCAAACAACTTGGAATGTTTGACCTACTCGAAGCTTAGAGGACTTAAAAAGAATATGGCTGCTCACAAAATTTTGGAAGGGCTGAAGAAGTTGCTCTATGCTTTAATTTTAGAAATTAGACTAGAATGATGCTGCCTGCCAGGGGGCACGTGAAATCTGTGACACTCGTGAACTGAGGAACCAGGAATATGCCTCTGGAACAAAGCTCACCGTGAACTGCCAGCTAGGATCAAGACCCTCACCCCGCCTGTGTTGAAATGCCATCACCATCACGAAACAAACAGAACAAGTCTTCTCAACGCTCTAGATAGTTACGACCCAACACTTCCATAGGAAAACCCAAAACTCACACCTGCCAGAACGAAAGCATGTGCATCTCCAACAGCATCAAAGCATTTGCTTCATTCCTTCATCTGTATCTTACATCAGTGTCTGATGCCTGGAATCCAAATCCCATGTGAAACCCTAACTACTAGGCAGCCTGGTAAATCTTAATGTTTAGCTATCCAGTTTCTGAAGTAAAGGAAAGCATATTAGAAGAGTTTATTTTTAAATTAATATTAGAAAAGCATATTTTTAAAACATATTTGGTTGTTAAAAAAAGAGACAAAAAGAACATACTTTCCATGACAATATAGCACACAGAAATCCACATATGCATATAGACAAAATCCCTTTTGCTGTTGTACTTTCTACTCATTCAACTAAATTCGCCCTTTCAGCAAAGCAGGCAAATCCCTATGCCTTAAGCATTCTCTAATGAATTAAGCATATTTTGTGCATGAAATAAACAGCAGTCTGGTTTTCCTTTTCAACCGTGGACACCTCCATTTATTTTCAATAAAAGAAAGTATAGCTTAGAAACCTAGGCATTACCATAATCGTACAAATGCATATACATACCCAGGTTCTAAAATAGTCCGAACTCTCCCCAGGTGTGAGGCACCCAGATATCTCCTGTCTTACTATTGTGTTCCATTCTAATCTGTATTTTCACATTTGTTACAGGTGAGTGAATAGAATCCTGCTCTGGAGAGAAAGAAGACTATATATAAGGATGGTAAAATAAATATTGAGCATCAACCTACCATATCTACCACAGACTGTTAGGGATAATTTAGTTTATTTTTCTCTTTTTTTCCCTTTACACCTCATTTTGTTTTAAATTTTCACCAATCAGACAGAAAATAACAGATGTTAGCAAGGGCGTATAGAAAAGGAAATGTAATGTACTGTTGGTGGGAATGTAAATTAGTATAACCTCTATGGAAAACAGTGTGCGGATTTCTCAAAGAGCTAAAAATACAACTACCTTTTGATCTGGCAATCTCACTGCTGTGTTTCTCACCCAGAGGAAAATAAATCATCATATCAAAAAGATTTGTGTTTTTACTGCAGCAGTATTCAAAATGGCAAAGTCATGGAATCCATCTAAGTGCATCGATGGATGACTGGATTTTTTTTAAAGTATGTAATGGAATACTACTCAGCCATAAAAAAGAATGAAATCATGTCTTCTCCAGCAAAGCAGATGGAACCAGAGGCCACTATCTTAAGTGAAACAACTAGGACACAGAAAGAGAAATACTGCACATTCTCACTTATAAGTGGTTCAAATACCGTGTGCATGTGGACAGAGTGTGGAGTGATAGACATGGGAAGCATGGAAAATAAGGAGGTTGGAGGTGGGTGGATGGTGAGAAATTACTTAATGGGTGCAATGTACCTTACTCTGTGATCACATAAACAGCCCAGGCTTCACCACTATGCAATATACTCATGTAACAAAATGACACTTGTACCATATACATTTATAAAAATAAAAAAAATTTTAAAGGTTAAAATAGATAATTTAGTTGAATTCACTCATATTTTAGACCAGGAAATGAAATAGTGTTTCTAAAATCACACAATCACTTTAATAGTAGCAAATTTGAAAAGAGAAATTGGATCATTTGGCATTTCATTCTAGAGACCGGACATTCATTCAACAGAAGCTCATTGAGCTCCTATCACGCACTGACAGATTTACAAACACTGTCCCATTTCACCCTCAGAAAACTCTGAGACATGGGTATTATTATATGCCTGTCAAATAAGAGAAAATTGATACTCAGATTAAAAAAAACTCCCCGAAACTTAACTGTTAAGCCTAGGGTTGAAACCCTCAACTGTGAGACCATGGGGGTGTGGATCCTATAATCCCCCCACATTATCATTTAGGGTGTGTGCTTTTCAACAGCAATGATTACTACCAGTATTAGAATTGCAGCTAAAACAACAGAGAACTGATAATGAAAAGAGTAGTTATTATGCATCCATTGTTTATGAGTCATCACGTTGCATGTACGATGAAGTTCATGTCCTGAAAGGAAAGTGGTATTGCTTCTAGTTTAGAGAGAAGGATGCTACGGATAAGTGACATTTACTGCAACCCTCAAGGTCACACCACCAGTCATTAGCAGAGCTCAGATAAACCTGGGTGTATCTGACGCCATGCACAGACCAGGCCTCCTAAATCAGCTAGCCTGACTGGATGCACAGAAACTCAAAACGTAATTTTTCCGCACGTGGAAGTCACTACCTAAGGGCTATAAGAAAGAACAAAACAGAACAAAAATGCTGTGACAGCAAAAATTCATATCACTTCCTGTGTATTTCATATAATTCTTAGGTATTTACCCATTGTCTGTGAGCATATTCAATTTTCAAAATAAAAAACGTATCACAAAATTTCACTGATATAGAGACTTTTCTTAACCCTGTTACATATCTTGCTTATCTGAGGCCAGTGAAGTTATGTAGCCAAGGCTGCATAGCCAGGAAATGGTAGATGTGGATATTGAGACAGGAGTCCAGCCAGAGGCCAAGGTTATAGAAACACAAATAATAGTGAATGTGGACAGTCAATATAGAGAGGTCCTAGCTGTTTGGAGTGCACTGAAGTTTATGGAGGTGACAGCATTGGAGTTGTTAGGTTAAGGGTTAGCAGAAACAAGCTGCGTTATAAAGGAGACAGAAGAATTGTTCCTTATTCACTTCTTAGTAAACGTAAATACATAAGTAATTGTTAAACAATTCACGAAGGCCAGGAAAACACAAGGCTTTTACATGGAAGTCAACTTAATTATACATACCACATATTGCTGGAGAATCATGAGATAAACTTAGAAAGCTGAGCTGCAGCCCGAAGGTGGAAGACTTCAGACGCTGAGCTAAGGAGTTAGCCTTAACTTCATTATGTCCAAGGTGAGCCCGTTGTGGAATCAATTGGGAAATAATGATTAATAACCAAAGCTGACTTAGGACTTTATGACGTTTTCATGCTGTGACTTCCAACAGGAATCCTTTCCTCTCTCCCTTCTTTATGCCACATGTCCTGAACCAGGATGAAGCTTATTCATCTTTAAGGATCTGAGATGAGCTTCACATCCTCTTGAATGCCTTTCTAGAACACAGAAGCTCGGATTAGATGTAGCATTTCCCTTGTATTTTAATACTCATATTAGTAATCTATATTAAAATATTTAGTTCATGTATCTTTCTTTCAAGCTAGACTGTGAGTCCTTTGAATACAGGTGTGAATGTCCAGTGCCAGGCATGTCATCACTTATTAATGGATGGGTAGAATAAATTCCTGAATTTGAATGAATTGTCTCAACCACTAATTTAACACATCCTCTACTTTAAAAATTGGTATTCATACGAATACTCTTATTTTTCTATCACATTGTTTCTCAATGTCTAGAGGCAAACAATGAACCTGTAGACAAAATATCTAGATGCTCACAGTTCATATATTTATAAAGATGCGAAATATGTATAATCACATAATGAATAACATTGAATTATTCATGTTATGAATAATTAAATGAACATTTATTATGTGTTTGTATATATTTTACATCTACACATAACTATATGAATCAATTGTGCTCCTCAAAATTTAAAAGTTGAAGTGTTAACTCCCCAGTACCTCAGAATCTGCTTGCATATTTTGAGATAGGGTCTTTGAATAAGATAATTAAGTTAAAATGATGTCCTTAGAGCAGGCCCTAATCCAACATGACTGGTGTCTTACAAGAGGAGGAGATGAGAACACATACAGCCAAAGGGTAGGCCGTGAAGACACAGGAGCAGAAAACCGTCTGCTAGTCAAGGAGAGCAATCTCAGAGAAGGCAACACCTGCATTTCAGACTTTCAGCCTCCAAAACTAAAGGAAAGCAAATTTGTGTTCTCTAAGCCACCCAGTCTGTAGTTCTTCACTATGGCAGCACTAGCAAACTGGTACCGTAAGCATTAGAAGGCAAATAAATGAGCTTTCTAAGTCAGTAGCCATTGATTCTGATGTTGAGTTATTTGTAGGCACATGGTGCTACCCTTGGGGGAACATGCTTTTGCTGCTCCTTACTATCGGAGCTGAGTGGGGTGGCTCTGGTGCCCCCACAGCAAACAGCACCTGGGTACCAAATGTATATGTAGAATGCAATGATTCAGTTCCACAGTAAGACGCTAAACATGCAGAAGTGGGTACATGGATGTGAGTGTGGGGATGGAGGAGAAAAACCCAGCAAAGGCAGTTTCCTCACTAAAGAGTTATCCGCAGCCCATTACTGGGCGGGGCCGAATAGCTCTACTTATGTCATCCATGTGGAGGAATTTCCAGTGTCTTCCACCTCTCTCTCTACCTCCTCCGAGGCAATTTGTCGACTCTATCATATAGGAATTTCACTTGTACACAGATTATTAGTGCAGGAGCACGGTGCAGATGAAAGAAATAACCATTTCCCCATCTCATATCATTGTTTCCCAAGTCATTCCTTCACTTAGAACACCATTTTTTTCTAAATTATTTCAAGCAACTCACTCGAAATATGTGTTCTGCACTCTAACTATAATAACCACTGATACCGTGGCAAAATCATGCTTCTGGGACACATAGCTTTGAATGGTATACTTCAGGAGTTTGCAACTTGTGTTCGGGATATAAGTCTTGAAACAGCTTATTCAAGGCTTATCGTAGCTGAATCTCAGATCTCACTAGTGTTTACGCCAGGAGAGAGGTGGTGCATGCATCCATTTCAGACTCACCTTTGAGTCAGTTACAGTAAGGACAGAGCCACAAACTTACATAAATTACGTATTCAAGTTTTATCAGGGCTGTACTGAGAGCCTCTCAGCAAAATTAGAGAAAGAGTGTTGAATTGATGAATTAATTGAATTAGTATTGCTTTGTATCTTTCTCAGACACCAACCTATCCTGCTAAGTCCTGCCAGTGCCACTAGCTTGGCTGGCCTCCCCTCAATCCAGCAAAGTCTCTCATCTTTGCCAACCTCTCTTTTTAATTTGCAACACTGAACACAGAGCCCGCGTTTGCCCCCAGGGAGTTGGTGCTGTTTGCTGCTTCCCTATGAAGAGTTTCATTTTCTGGAATTAATTTCAACCATGATTCACTGTGTCACCCATCTTTAAATGTCTCATAAATATTCTTTTGATTTAATCTAGATTTTTCTTACTTTCATGAAAAGGTAAAATGTCTTCTCTTTTTATATCCTAAGTACTGCATAGAAGCTCATTATTTTTTGAACCCATTTCAATTAGGCTCCTGTGAAAGGGGAGCCTCTTCTCCATTGAAAGGGGTCATGTCCAAGTTGTGAATGACCTCACTAGATCAAAACCAATAAATAGCCAATCATAAGGGTTCTATTAATGACCTCTCAGAAGCAGTGAGCACTTGACTATCTCCTTGTCTTCAAATACATTTTACTTATCCTCATGGATACTGCTTCTTACCTCATTGGCTGTTGCTTCCCAGTCTTTGCTGGATGTCCCCTGGTCTGACCTCTAAATGTTGGAATACTCAGTGTCTCAAAGCTAGATATTCAGAACTCTGTTTCTCAATCTACGCTCATTCTTTACAAAGAACTCATTCAGCCCCACAGCTTCAAGGCCGTTGGTACAACAGTACAGGTGTCATGTGATGCACCCACTGAGATTCAAGGACAGTGTACCTGCTTATTTTCTCAGTCAGCATCCCCACTGAGAAACCTAATAAATAACCCCTACCTGACGTGCTTAAACAAACAGGCTTGCTCTCTCGCTCCCTTTTCTTTCTCTTCCCTTATCAACCCCCAAATCACTCTTCTCTTTGTCTTCCTTATCTTGGTAAATGTTATTACTCTTGACTAAGTTCCTCAGACACGAAAGCATGAGGTATTTTGATTGTTTTAATATCTCATTCCTGAAAGACTTCTCCATCAGTCAATTGTACCTTCACAATGTATTCCCCAGCTTTGGCTACTTTGACCCCTGTGCCCTCCACCACAGTCCATGCCCTACTTATCTGTGGCTGTTACCAAAACGGCCTCTACAGTGGTCCTCCACGTCCACCTTACCTACTCTCATGTTCTGCTCTCCACCTTGCAGTGTTTTCTTAATATTCAGAAAGATTTTATTCATAGAAGTAACTGTATTGTCAAAATGGTCTTATAAAATAAGTTAGAAAATCAGTTTCCTTTTTCCAAAATCCTTTAACACTGTCTCACACATTTAATAAAATGTAAACATCTTGTTTTGGCCAATAGGGACCTGCAGGATCCAGCTCTCCCACGTCTGCTTGCCCAGCTTCACTGCAGCCATGTGGGCCTCCTTCCTGCACAAATCATCTAACTCATGTCTGCCTCAGGTCCTTTGCATCTGTGGTTCCCATGAAATACTGTTTTCCCCCGGATAGACACATGGGTTGCTCCTCACATATCCATGTCTTTCCTGGCCTAATCCCTCTTCACAGAGGCCCCCTGGCCTTTCTTACAATACAGCCACCAGCAGCACCACCGCTGTCAACTTCTTGAAGCTTTTATGAAACTCATTATTTTCAAGCGACTCTTCTTTTCATGAAACTACAGTGCATATGATTATTTGTTCTTTTCTGTTGCCTCATCTACCCTCAAAAAATACTTTGCTTGTTAATTGGCTGCCACATTTCAGTATTCAAAAGGTAAAGTTTCTACATTTAGTATCTGATTTGCACTGTGTGTGCATGGGGAAAAGCTGGACTAGAAAGTCTCATATAAATCTGTTTCATATTGCTTCAATGTATTTTAAAGCCTGCTTCACAGGAATGCAGTCTTATAACCAAAATAAGTCTCCAACTAACCACTTTTATAACCTTGCGTGGGAGTGCCTGAACTGTGTCTTCGTATTTGTATACTACACAGTATTCCCAGAACCCAGCTGGCGCTGACAGACAAAAGATGACGGGCATTTGTCAAGCGCTCACTTCAGAAAAACATCCTACAACAATTCCACTAATCAGAGCTCTCTCGGTAATGCACTTTCAATCAGCAACGCGTTTTCAAAATGTATTTATAATTTCCTAACACATGGAATAACGCATAAGTTATTCATGAAAACGCTCATTAGAACTTTCAATGCCAGTTTTTATAAATAGTCTGTAAGTGCGTATGCAGGAGCTGCCCTTGCCTGTCCATACCAGTGGGCAGTCGGTTGAGGAGATCGTGGAGGACTGGAAAGGCACTCCCTGCTTTCTTCCAGTATTGCGGGTGAGAGGGAACTCATCCGCTGTCTTTGGGCCATTGACCATTTAGCCAAAATTAATAAAAGTATAGAATCAGGGATATTTGGGGGGAGGAATTTCATAGGTCAAATATAAATTTACCAGGAGGCTAAATTATGTCCAGCAATTTAGGATTCATAAACGTGACTTTAAACTCAGGGAAGTGTGATTTAAAGATGACTAGCTAAGAAAGCAGACTCACAGAAACCTGCACACAAGCACGTCAACGTGTGTTTGATGCTGTCTGAAGAAGGTGCGTGACAAGCAGCAGGTGTGTGCAGCGCCAGGAAGGAGGATGGACTATGGCTCAGGGACACGTACACATCCTGTGATTCGTTGTTCTGTCACAGAGCCCACCCCATTCTAATTACGAACACATTGCTTTCCTGTGCAGATTTTCCTACACTGAGAACAAGCAGTCCTAACCACAAGGATTTTCTGCTTCTCTTATCTTTCCTTTTTGAAATGCAGTCTTTTATGCCCTGAGTGGTCCTGAATCATTGGCCAAAGTCTGCTCTAGTCTATGACTCACCAAAATTTGTTACTGGATCTTTGGAGCTAAGGAGCAATCCATAGGTCAGGGTAACATTCATACGAATTCCATTTGTTGAATTATTTCCTGAGGGACTAGCTTTCCTTCCAAACCAATATGTCATCCCAAATACCCCTACTTCTAGTGTGGAACTGTGTTATAACCTAAGAATATGAAGGCATCTGATTCATCTGATTGAATAAATTAAATGCCTTTATCATGACGAAGTGATAGTTGAGATTGCAGGATGAAACAGGAAATGACTGAAACAAGAAAAGAATGCAATATATATACACAATGTGAAATACTATTCAGCCTTAAGAAAGGAAAAAGTCTGTCATCTGTGACAACATGGATGAAATTGGATGACTTTATGTTAAGTGAAATAAGCCAAACATGGAAAAAAAATACTGTGTGTTTTCCCCTCCGTGGAATCTAAAACCTGGGAAGTGGAGGGAACGAGGAGATGATAATCGAAGGGTACAAAGCTTCCGTTAGATAGAAGAAATAAGGTTAATTTTTTTTTGTTTTTTAGGTCCATGGCACAGAGTGGTGGCTATAGCTAATACTGTAGTGCTTTACATTGCAACATCACTGAGTAAATCTCAAATATTCTCGCCACATAAAAATCTAATATTAGAGGTTGTAGATTCATTAGCTGAATTTTTTCATTTCACATTTTACTAAAATATTATAACATCACTTTGTACCCCGTAAATGTATACAACTATAATCTGACAAGGTATAATAAAAAATAAATTAAAAGCCTACCATGAGACCACAAAAATAACACTGTAAAATATAAACAAAATAACTTTCCTATAAAATTTTAAACTAAAAGTTTTTATAAAATGACAAAGAAACATATTTATATATATATATATATTATATGTATCTCATATATGCAGACATACACATATATATAGTAAAGGATATATATAATTATATATTTCATTATATACATTACAATTAGTCTGTAATGCATATCAGCACTTTGTGAGTTATGATAAACTTTTCATAGGCATTTATTGAACTGAATTAATGGAACCAAATATTGTAATACGGAGGGTACAAATCACACAAAGAGGAAGTAGGGAGGAATTTTGAAAGTTAAGCTACAGTAGAACTGCACTGAGAAAAAAATTCTAACTGATGAATTCTTGATCTATCAGTGCCTTCACATTGAATAAATACAAGATATTGAGGAAAAAGCCACTTCACAATGTATTTTCAGGATACTCCTTAGCCCAAGATACCCCAAACCTTGTAGATGTTATATATGTGTGTGTGTACATATATATATGTGTGTGTACATATATGTGTATATATATTTAAATGTAAATTTATTTGTAACGTGTATATATATATATATATATATATATATAATAAAACCATCTTTCTTTGTCACATCAGTTTTAAGGGAAGAAAATGACTCTCCTCAAGTAATATCACATTTGTTCTAATAATTTCTGCCTTTGTGCTCTCTCCTTTCTCCTCACACCCACCCCTGAACCTGGCACACTGGCACATGGAAGGAAGGTCATTGCTTTTCAGTGCCAAGAGGAAAGGCACTGGTCTGTGGCATGGTGGATTCAGGTCTACGCTTTCTGCCTCTCTCTTTGGACGTGCAGGAGTCCAGGACAGTTAGCAAGCCGGCAACTTCCGGAGAGCCATGTGGTTATATCAGAAAGTACCAGACCACGACTCAGGAGGTGTGGGCCATGGTCTGGCTCTTTCACATTCTGTTGTGTGACACTGTACAAATTGCTTCATCTGTATACACTTTACCATCTTCGTTGCTCAAATAGAGATCATAATAACTGATCTATATCACAAAATTATTGTGAGGAGCAAGTACAGAAAAAAAGGAAGTATAGAAGAATCTACCCATTTGGGTCAAATGCTAAACACACAACCTCCACATGACAGATATGATCAATGAATCCTAGGATCAAAGTCATTTTCAGTTCAACACAGACAAAATTGGAGAGGACATTGGGGATGGAATAAAACATAAGCTGGATTAAATAACAATAAATTCATAAAATTATAATCAACCATTTGACTTAATTAGGTTACCAGAGTAACATGCAACAACCTAAAATATATAATTTCCTCAGCACGCCCATGGGGCAGAAACCATGGGCTCTGCAGTATCAAATTAGGTGAAATAGGTATAGTGATAGTAATAACATTGCTTAAAATCACTGGCCAATGACATTAAAATACCAGGGATTATTCAAAGGATTTAATAGATGAAATTTTGGGAGATATATAGTCCTATGCTTCCTGGAATGGCAAAGATAAATTATGAATCAAATGGGATAATTACTTAACATTTAGGGAAAAGCAATATGAGTTCAAGTAATTCATTTTTTTCTATTCTTATTAAGTTAGAATATATTCTTCTAAAAACAGTTCATGGGATCAGTTTTCTAACATCTAATGTGGAGTTCTCTTAGAGTTTCTAATCAAGCTGGGTAAGAATGGAAATACATGAGCTCAAATCACCACCTGGAGACAAAATATCTGGAAGTGGAGCTCAATATTTGTATTTTATGTGATGCACATAACAGTTTGATTAACACTTAGCATAGGATGAGGAAGTTTCATTGTAGTCCTTCACTTCTTCCTCTGTGCTGTTCCTATGGGCTTCATTTATCAAACAATTGACAATCAGAGTCATTGCAGGAAACAGATCCTACGGGAGTATGTTATCAGAAGGGTATTTAAGGCAGAGGAAAAGTGCTTTCTAAGATCTCCAGAAGGTCTGAAAGAGGGAACTTTACTCAGGACCTCTTGGGAGACCCTCAGAATTTCAGACAACTGACAGTACTGCAACCTGGAGTATAGGGGGTCTCAAGACCTACACAATGCAAATCCGCTGCACAGCCTGTGAGCCAAGAAGCTGTCACAGCTACCAGTGCAAGCATAGCTGCAGGTGACAGGACCCTGACACTCCAAATTTGCCACCCAGGAAACTAGATAAAACACCGTGGGAAAACACTACGACATAACCTTGTTGATAACTAAAAATGGTAAGAACACGTCCAACACAGGGATACCTTGGAGACGTTGTGGGCTTGGTTTTGGACCACCACAATACAGTGAATAATCTGAGTTCTTTGTTTTCACAGAGCATATAAAGTTATGCTTGTGCCATACTATAGTCTGCTGTGTAATAGTAATAGCATTATTCCTAAAAAGACAATGCATAGACCTTACTTTCAAAAACATTTTATTGCTAAGCAATGCTAATACCTTGGGCATGTGTGGTTGGAAAAATGGTGCTGATAGACATGTATGATACTGACTTGCCATAAACTTGTAATGTGTCAAAAAAAAATCTGTGAAACACAATAAAGTGGAGCACAGTAAAGCAACATATGCCTACATAGCACTTGCCTCAATTTCCTCTTCTAAGTCTCAAATGAAATGCAGCTAATTAATGGATCCAGAATATGAGCTGTCAAGGAGTTGTACAACATTTAAGCTTTCATATTCTGCAGCAGAGGATGCACTAGAAGGAAATGATAAGTGCCATTCCACTCTATTCTGAAGTCCACTTTGGCTATTTGGTATTCTAATGAATCTTTCTATTTGTGCTTAAAACCCAAGTAGGGAGTAATGTCAGGGAAGATGGCAGAGGAGGAGACACTATGAATCCATCTTTGTACCTAGGCAACAATTATATTGGATAGAAACTGTCTGAAGTAGCTATTGAACTTCTGGAGTATATTTTAATGCTTTCAGCCTCCAGAGGAAGGCTTGGCTGGGAAATTGTGTTCCATTTTGATCAATTGCAGTCACTACCCATTCTCTACTGCACAGTCCTGTGGCAGGCAGGCAGGTGGTCCCATCTATCTGGTGCAGCTTGCTGGAGCCAGGGTGAGAATTAAGGACCTTGCCTTCTAAACGTTAGAGTTTTATGTTCTGACTGCTGATGGCTACTGCTGCTTGCTAAGGTTAGGGCAGAGAACCTGGCTGTCATTGCATCATCGCCAGCTTCTTGGAGTTTCCAAGGGATTTACATGAACGGCACTTGTTTTATTTCTTTATCTTCTTTTGGTACCCAGGCATTTAAACATTAGGACATTCAACAGCAGTAGTGTATATGATAGTGCATTTGTAAAACCACTTCACACGTCCAGAGGAACATGCAGGCTCAGAAAAGACATGAGAAGACAGTAAGCTTTCACCGCAGGCTGATTTTCAGAACAGACACACATTCAACAACTAAACAAACAAACAAAACATCTTCGGAAAAAGAATAATTTAATTTTTACAGTTATATGAATTAACTGACTGGTCTTCAACAACAACAACAAAAATCAGAAGGCAGCCAAAATTCAAGCAAGTATGGCTCATTTAAGTAATAACATAAATCAAGAGAAACTATCCATGATGAATCCCAGATGTCAGACTTCTTAGATAAGGAGTTCCAAAAAATATCTTAAGGATTCTCAAAGATCTCAAGGAAGACAAAGACATGAAAATGGTATATGAATAAAATGAGAATTACAGTAAAGATAATTTTTGAAAGATAAAATATAAATTTGGAACCCAAATTTACAATAACTGACATAAAAATTGACTTGAAAGCAGAGTTGAGCAGTCAATGGAAAAAATCAACCTTAAGGGAAAGCTATTGAAATTACTAAGTTTGAGAACAGAAAGAAGAAAAGAATAAAATAGTAAACAGAGCATAAAGAACATTTGGGACATTATCAGGAGGATAAACATAATCATGCAGAAGTACCAGAAGGAGAAGACAAATAG